ATAAGTATTTGACCCCCTCTCAATCAGAAAGATTTCTGGCTCCCAGGTGTCTTTTATACAGGCAACGAGCTGAGATTAGGAGCACACTCTTAAAGGGAGTGCTCCTAATCTCAGCGTGTTACCTGTATAAAAGACACCTGTCCACAGAAGCAATCAATCAATCAGATTACAAACTCTCCACCATGGCCAAGACCAAAGAGCTCTCCAAGGATGTCAGGGACAAGATTGTAGACCTACACAAGGCTGGAATGGGCTACAAGACCATCGCCAAGCAGCTTGGTGAGAAGGTGACAACAGTTGGTGCGATTATTCGCAAATGGAAGAAACACAAAATAACTGTCAATCTCCCTCTGCCTGGGGCTCCATGCAAGATCTCACCTCATGGAGTTGCAATGATCATGAGAACGGTGAGGAATCAGCCCAGAACTACACGGGAGGATCTTGTCAATGATCTCAAGGCAGCTGGGACCATAGTCACCAAGAAAACAATTGATAACACACTACGCCAGGGTTCTTCAATTCCGGTCCTGGAGGGCCGAAACACCTCTGTTTTTCATCCTCTCCTTCTAATCAGGGGCTAATTCAGACCTGTGACACCAGGTGAGTGCAATTAACTACCAGGTAGAAATAAAAAACAAGTGTTTCGGCCCTCCAGGACCGGAATTGAAGAACCCTGCACTACGCCGTGAAGGACTGAAATCCTGCAGCTCCCGCAAGGTCCCCCTGCTCAAGATAGCACATATACAGGGCCGTCTGAAGTTTGCCAATGAACATCTGAATGATTCAGAGGAGAACTGGGTGAAAGTGTTGTGGTCAGATGAGACCAAAATGGAGCTCTTTGGCATCAACTCAACTCGCCGTGTTTGGAGGAGGAGGGATGCTGCCTATACCCCAAGAACACCATCCCCACCGTCAAACATGGAGGTGGAAACATTATGCTTTGGGGGTGTTTTTCTGCTAAGGGGACAGGACAACTTCACCACATCAAAGGGACGATGGACGGGGCCATGTACCATCAAATCTTGGGTGAGAACCTCCTTCCCTCAGCCAGGGCATTGAAAATTGGTCGTGGATGGGTATTCCAGCATGACATTGACCCAAAACACACGGCCAAGGCAACAAAGGAGTGGCTCAAGAAAGAAGAGTGGCCTAGCCAGTCTCCAGACCTTAATCCCATAGAAAATCTGTGGAGGGAGCTGAAGGTTTGAGTTGCCAAACGTCAGCCTCGAAACCTTAATGACTTGGAGAAGATCTGCAAAGAGGAGTGGAACAAAATCCCTCCTGAGATGTGTGCAAACCTGGTGGCCAACTACAAGAAACGTCTGACCTCTGTGATTGCCAACAAGGGTTTTGCCACCAAGTACTAAGTAATGTTTTTCAGAGGGGTCAAATACTTATTTCTCTAATTAAAATGCAAATCAATTTATAACATTTTTGACATGCGTTTTTTCTGGATTTTGTTGTTGTTATTCTGTCTCTCACTGTTCAAATAAACCCACCATTAAAATTATAGACTGATCATGTCTTTGTCAGTGGGCAAACGTACAAAATCAGCAGGGGATCAAATACTTTTTTCCCTCACTGTAGGTGAAGTCAAATTAACTTGGTTCATTGGAAATGGTAGATTGTTAATATTTAGTGGTAGCCAGGCTCAGCAAGAGAAGATACTGAAAATGGAAAAGCTTAATGGGAAGAAGATTAAAAGCCATGTCCCTGGTGCTTATGCTAGATTGAGGGGAGTCATCACTGGGGTCACAATATCTATGTCCACAGATGATATTAAAGACAATGTAAAGGGAGGAAGAGGGATTGAGGACAAAAGTTTGATCAGTAGGAAAGAAGGTCAAAGAAGTGAAAGCCTATCAGTGCTGCTGAGGTTTGAGAAGGTTATGCCTGGAAAAGTACAGATAGAATTTGTCCCATGTCAGAGAATTTGTCCCATCCCCATTGCAGTGTTTTAAATGCCAACGAATGGGACATGTAGCTGTTCAATGTAAAGGAAGGAAAAGATGTGCCATGTGTGGAGGGGAACATGATTACGGTGAATGTGGGAACAATGTAAAGGTTAAGTGATGTAATTGTGGGGGGGAACATAGTGCAGCATTTGGTGGATGCCAGGTGCAGAGAGAGGCTGGAGAGGCTCAGAGATATAGAATTAGTCATGATGTATCTTATGCAGAGGCTGTAAGACAGATTGGTAGAACTACAGTGTGGAATGATGGAGCTTCCATGGCTGCTCCTGTACGAAGTGGATCTAAGGTCGTGGCTGGTGTTTCTGCTGGTCCTGGCATGGTTTAGAGGCCTATTCAGAAATCTTGTGCTCATGAATGTGTGGTGTCAAAGGACACTTAGATAATGAATTAATTTGACTTCATAGCTTTTATTGGTAAGGTTATCAATACGACTCGGGTTGTGGAAAGCATTAATGCCAGGTTGAAGGTTATTGTGGAGAGGGCAAAAGAGATATTGGGGGTAACAGTTACTGTTTAAATAGTTGTTGACATGCTGAACAATCCTAAGGGTGGAGTGTTTCAGCATGATATAGATCAAGTTTAATGGGGTGGGGGAGGGGAGGGTAGTGGTAGAAGTTAGTAGGGATTTATTTGGGTTTTATTTTATTTTCATGGTAGTACAGAAACGGGCAGATCATGATTGATAGTACATTCCAGCACAGTAGTTGGCGGCATGCACTTAAACGATTGTTTGCGACCGCCATGATATCAGCATAGAAGAAGAAGAAGAGTGGACGTGTATTTACGGATGTAGCTAGCTAGCTACTGTTTGTTAACATATTTACCTAAATTAAATATCGTTTGCGACATCATGAAATCATCATGATGGTAAAAATTTTATAGAAATCAAATCAACAGGCGTGGTCTAACAGAACAAGATAAACACAACGAAGGTAATAGATGTGCTAAGCTAGCTAACAGTAACTTAGCTAGCGTGGCTTGTTTATCAGTCGACTGTCTGTTTGCGTGGTACAGCTAACGTTCGCTTGAGAGCTAACTAACTTATCTATGTTTGGATGTAGGTCTCCTGAGGTGGTGAATTGAAGACATCGCATAACTGACACCATGGGGGCCGAGCAAAGTGGTGATTCGGAGCACAAGCACTCCGACTACAGTTCCTCGGGTGAGGAGGACAGGCAGGTTGTCTGCAGTGGTGGAAAAAGTACCCTATTGTCATACTTGAGTAAAAGTAAAGATACCTTAATAGAAAATGACTCAAGTGGAAGTCACCCAGTAAAATACTACTTCAGTGAAAGTATTTGGTTTAAAATATACTTAAGAATCAAAAGTAAATGTAATTGCTAAAAAACGACTTAAGTAGTAGTTTCAAATATTTTTACTCGAGTACTTTACACCACTGGTTGTCTGTGTGTGCATCCCAGTAATGTTATTTCTTCTGAAATGTTTCCATTCACTACTTCCCCAAACCATATTCCTTATACCAGTCATTTCCTTTCAAATCAGTGAAAGGAGGTGAACAAGTGCATACTTTGGGAGGAAGGAGAGGGACATAGCCTGTCTGTAGCAGGTGACGCACGAAGTGCTTACCCTATATTATTCCTTGAACTCTTGCACATAGGATACTCAAACGTGTACTTGTCATTTTTTAAGTTACAACCAATGTTACCTCTACGCTGCTCACAGTAGCCGCGCAGAGCTCAGAATAAATATCAGCCCACTGAGAGAAGCACAAGATTGAACTTCACTCAACTTTCTAGAGTTTTCCCTGTTAGTTAACACTATCAACGTTTCCCTTTACTGTGACAATTGTGATTGAATCAACGCAATTATAGCCACTTTCAATGCAACCTACCGAAACAAAACAAACTATGCAAGATATTCTGTTGTAGGCAGAACGCATCAGAGGAGGATTCTATTGGGCATGACTCAGCCCGTACTCTACACAGACCGGTGCGGCATAACCAATCAGAGCTGCAGTAGGCCTATATGCAAATAGACCATTACAATATGTGGATCTGTGCCATTTACTTTGATCTGGACTGTGTTTACAGCTGTGATTGTGAGTAGATGTGCTTGTTTTGTGATCAAAGCAAGAGCTGCATGTAGCCACGTGCACATTTTGTTCATATCCTTTGCTAGTTAGTGAGTAATTAGCCCAGTTATAGATCATTTGTAGTCCGCAATAGCAATAGGGGAGTGATTGCTTCTCACAAGAGCACAAAACGTGTACATTTCTAGACATCTTTGAAAAGCAATTCAGGTAAAGTGCTTTTTTTGTCTTAAAGGGGCAGTGTTTTGTTTTGAGACAGGCTTGAATAAACTAAGTAGTCAATAGGCAGAGGGTAGCATAATCTTTCTGATTCTCTGTAATAATGGTATGGGAATAATAATGCATTTTATATTGTAAAGTGGTTTCTTGCATCAAACAACACAACAACATTTTCAGGACAAGTGGATAAACTGGTAATGTCAAGCAAGCCATGCATGTTTTTTTTCTCTCAAAAATCTCATGGAATGTAGGCCTACATTGAGCACCACACATTGGCTGCTACCGTAGGCTGAATGATAGAATAGCTATTTCAATGTTAAAATGTTATCGAAATGCATTTTCTCCATTGTTTTTGATGGTAGGCCACTCTGGTAGGCCTACATTATGATCAAATAGCCACAGTAGCCTACATGGCCATTGTTAAAACTGTAACTTAAAGCAGGTACAGCCTCAGTGTTCACAGTAAACGTTCAAGTTTGCGCTCAGCAGACCTGAAATTATCTCAGTGCTGAAATTGTTTTAGAGGGAACATTGGTTACAACTGCAGTGTTTCATATTTGTAGGATGTCCCAAATGGCACCCTATTCCCTATATAATGCACTATTGTTGACCAGGGCCCATAGTGTCATGTCATTTTTTAGGAGCCTCTCTAGCTGTTAGCTATCTTTCAACATAAAACAAGTACTAATAGATGGAAAAATTCATTGAAATGCTTTGTTGTCGCAGTGGTGCCCTCTCCAGCAAAGCAGAAGGCTAAAATGGACGACATTGTGGTGGTGGCTCAGGGGACACAGTCATTGCGCAACATCCAAAACGACCCTGATGTCATCAAGCTTCAGGAAATCCCCACTTTTCAGCCCTTGTTGAAAGGTAAGCTAAGGGCCTTTCACCGAGATCTAGACCTATCCTCTGTCTCTACAGTATTGTAATAATGTTCCATATGAGAATGTGTACAATTATGAGTAGGGCTAGACATTCCTTTATGACCTTGAAGTCCACAGAAAGAGTGATCATAGATGATGTTTTGAGGGCAGTCTGTCCATGTCTCTAGGTGTGCTGAGCGGACAGATGTCCCCCAGCAGTTTGTGTCTAGAGAGGCTGGACTCTGCCCAGGTGCTGCAGCTCTGCATCCGCTACCAGGACCACCTGCACCAGTGTGCCGAGGCCGTGGCCTTCGACCAGAACGCCCTGGTCAAGAGGATCAAAGAGGTAACAAATGCCCTAATCACCTCACCGGTCTGTGCATGCAGGCACCTCTCCTTCGCTCCTTTCCTTCATCTGCGCTAGTCTGACAGAACAGAGACCCGGTGAAAGTAGATTCCCCAATAGGCCTCCATCTTCTTTCATTTGTCTTTGGTTTTCATATGCGCATAGATAAGGGAGGGGAAGAAGCTACGCTAGTCTGTTGAAATATGGATGATGTGAAGTTGGTAGAATGATCTCACATATTTATATCTCATCTTTCTCTCCCTCCCTCCCAGATGGACCTGTCTGTGGAGACGTTGTTCAGCATCATGCAGCAGCGTCAGAAGCGCTATGCTAAGTACGCTGAGCAGATCCAGAAGGTGAACGAGATGTCCATGATCCTGAGACGTATCCAGATGGGCATCGACCAGACCGTCCCCCTGATGGAGAGGCTCAACAACCTGCTGCCGGAGAGCGAATGCCTGGAGCCCTTCAGCATGAGGCCGGACGGGAACGCCGCAGCCAAGTAGTAATATCCCTGCCTGGGTACGCTGATACATTCACTGTCATGGCCCTCTAGTCTAGCCTTCAATGCCTCCGCCATCCCAGAGAGAGTTTAAAAGCTCTTTATTAAACCATTCATGTTGAACAGAAGCAAGGGAGGGAGGAAAGAAAGACTGCCCAGCCAGCTCCCCAAGCCATCCTGAACCCTTCACATCCACAACTTACCATCCCACCAGCCCTGGACATTTTGCCCATCCACTCACCATAAGCATTACACACTCTGCAGTCCCCACCCCATCCAGCAGACATAGTGAGCTACTGGGAGAGTTACAGCCCATGCAGGGGTTTACATGGCAGTGAGTGTTAACCCCCTTCTGTCAAGGAATTGGAAGACGGTAAAATATAAGTTTACATGATGATGCACTGAAGGGAACCTACTTGTATCTTTGATTACTGGTACTTTGTAGATACCACAAAGAGTGTGGTGACAAAAATGACTTCCAAAAATGACTGAATCTCCAGAAGTAATATTAATCAAAGATGAGCTCAGAAGACTCCCATAAAATAACTCCTGGAGCTTGAACTGACAGTGTATTTTTGTTTGGGGGATTTCTTTTTTATTACGCTAAATTATTTTGAGTGTTAGCTGATTGAATATGTTGGATTCTCTGTGAGTATTTTAAATGGCTTACATAGCAGAGAAATTTTAATCATTTCAATTTATTGCAAAATGTATAAAGGTTCTTTATACTGTTCCGTTTGAAGAATCAGTTCAATAATCAGATACTGACCCTCTCACTTGGATATGATGATTGGTTATAGGATATTGCCATTTGGTGTTATAACATAGTATATACACTTAGTGTACAAAACATTATGAACACCTGCTCTTTCCATGACCTAGACTGACCAGGTGAATCCAGGTGAAAGCTATGATCCCTTATTGATGTCACTTATTAAGTCCACTTCAATCAGTGTAGATGAAGGGGAGGAGACAAGTTAAAGAAGGAGTTTTAAGCCTTGAGACAATTGAGACATGGATTGTGTATGTGTGCCATTCAGAGGGTGAATGGGCAAGACAAAATATTTAAATGCCTTTGAACGGGGCATGGTAGTAGGTGCCAGGCGCACCGGTTTGAGTGTGTCAAGAACTGCAATGCTGCTGGGTTTTTCACGCTCAACAGTTTCCAGTGTGTATCAAGAATGGTCCACCACCCAAAGGACATCCAGCCAACATGACAAAACTATGGGAAGCATTGGAGTCAACATGGGCCAGCATCCCTGTGGAACTCTTTCGACACCTTGTAGATACCATGCCTGACAAATTGTGGCTGTTCTGAGGGAAAAGGGGGGTACAACTCAAGGTGTTCCTAATGTTTTGTACACTCGGTGTAGATTCCACTTATTCTGTGAGGATGTGGCTGTTGAATTTTGATCTGAGCAGAAATACTTAACATTGTGGAGCAAAGTTCTCTCTCCCTCTCTGTAACGTTCAATGTATCCTCCTTTGAATTATGATCGCCTCTGTCTCTCTGGCAGAGGACGGCATATCGACATTCTTGGGACCTTTTCTAATGTCAGAAATCGTCATCTAATTCTAGTGATCCGTCTGTGCCTTTTCATGTGTAAATTAACAAGGACGAAATCCCTTAAAGTGCTTAAGGGGAATTGTTTGAACATTGAAACTGGAATGGAAATGTATGTCAGTCTACACACAGACAGAGAACAGAGAGCTGATGTTCATTCTTGTGCAGTTCCTTCCTACTCTACCTGCCTTTGTGCTGTGAAATGAAGAATAGGCCTAGCCAACTGATCCTCATAGCCTGATTATTAATACACCAAGATAATCCAATATAATTTGCCGTCAGGAATTTCATTTCTGAGAAATCCAATATAGGCCTACTTCTCATTTGAATATAAAAGGGACAGTTTTTGTTTCTGTATTCAGAATCGATCCATAGCTAGGAATATGAGTGGGAGAGGTTTCTCATCTATTGAAATGGCCTTCTGTAAAATGTACAGAACCATGGTTCTCTCTTTCTCTGAGGCTGGACTAGGTGCATACTAATGAGCAGCGCTATTAGCTGCCTGAATACTCTCTGCTGTGGTAGAGAACCCCTTTAAGTCAAATACCTTGTGGTTATATGATTATTATTTCAAATTGGATAAATATTCAATGTTTCTCTGAACAGGCTATACCTTCATGTTTGTATTATTTATTGGGTTGTAACTTTTAATATATTGCCAGAAGAGGAATGAAGATCAGCCAAATTGCATGCATTGACGGTCAGGGTTTCAGTTGGAATATGATTCCGTGCTTTCTGCTATTTGACATAGTCACCTCAATTATTTGATATGTTGTAGGGAGAAGTTGCACCTAGATGCTGATCTAGAGTTAATTTAGCTGGTTAGGATTGGGGGAGGGGAATCTGATCCTAGATCTGTACCGAGGGGAAACGTCATCCTGGAGTGTTTGATACAGCTGCTGCACAACCCACTAAGAAGCAGCCAAGAGACTCAGCAATGTGACGTCATCACTGTCACGCCTACTCCCGTTCCCTCTCTCCGGCGCTCGACGTCGCCGGGCTACTAACCACCGGTCCTGGCAACCCACATTACGCACACCTGCTCCCAAACGTTATGCACACCTGGACTTCATCATCACCTTGATTACTTCCCCTTTATTTAGCCCTCAGTAGCCTCAGTCTTCAGGCAGTATTGGTTCTGTTTATGTTCAGTACGCTTCTCCTGTTTTGGTAATCGTCATGTTTCTTATTATTAAACTCACCTTCTGCACCAGCTTCCTGACTCCCTGCGTATACGTTACAATCACACACAGCAGGGAACGCTCTGCTCATAGATATAAACAACAAAATTCACAGCCAGACAACACATTACATTTCCCTTTTATTGAAATGCCACCACCGCCGCCACAATAATAAGTTGGTTTGTTCATGATATACTGCATAAAAGTAGTGGGTATTCCAAAAACCGATCAGAACGCAAACCACTGGTGTAGAGAATAGACTTGGTAAGGTAAATGTTCAGATCAACTAGTTCCTCCTTGCCCTCTATGTAACATACAGGACATTGAGGGTGTCAGTGATTCAGTGCCACAGGGGCAGTTGTCATTACATTTACATTTACGTCATTTAGCAGACGCTCTTATCCAGAGCGATTTACAAATTGGTGCATTCAACTTATGATAGCCAGTGGGACAACCACTTTTTTTTTTATTGGGGGCTAGAAGGATTACTTTTATACTATTCCAGGTATTCCTTAAAGAGGTAGGGTTTCAAGTGTCTCCGGAAGGTGGTCAGTGACTCCGCTGTCCTGGCGTCGTGGGGGAGCTTGTTCCACCATTGGGGTGCCAGAGCAGCGAATAGCTTTGACTGGGCTGAGTGGGAACTGTGCTTCCGTAGAGGTAGGGGGGCTAGCAGGCCAGAGGTGGATGAATGTAGTGCCCTCGTTTGGGTGTAGGGTCTGATCAGAGCCTGAAGGTATGGAGGTGCCGTTCCCCTCACAGCTCCGTAGGCAAGCACCATGGTCTTGTAGTAGATGCAAGCCTCAACTGGAAGCCAGTGGAGTGTGCGGAGGAGTGGGGTGACATGAGAGAACTTGGGAAGGTTGAACACCAGACGGGCTGCAGCGTTCTGGATAAGTTGTAGGGGTTTAATGGCACAGGCAGGGAGCCCAGCCAACAGCGAGTTGCAGTAATCCAGACGAGAGATGACAAGTGCCTGGATTAGGACCTGTGCCGCCGCTTTCTGTCTAAGGCAGGGTCGTACTCTGCGAATGTTGTAGAGCATGAACCTGCAGGATCGGGTCACCACTTTGATGTTAGCGGAGAACGGCAGGGTGTTGTCCAGCGTCACGCTAAGGTTCTTTGCACTCGGAGGAGGACACAATGGAGTTGTCAACCGTGATGGCGAGATCATGGAGCGGGCAGTCCTTCCCCGGGAGGAAGAGCAGCTCCATCTTGCCAAGGTTCAGCTTGAGGTGGTGATCCGACATACACACTGATATGTCTGCCAGACATGCAGAGATGCGATTCGCCACCTGGTTATCAGGTGTGTGTCATCTGCGTAGCAATGATAGGAGAGACCATGTGAGGATATGACAGAGCCAAGTAAATTGGTGTATAGAGAGAATAGGAGAGGGCCTAGAACTGAGCCCTGGGGGACACCAGTGGTGAGAGCACGTGGTGCGGAGACAGATTCTCGCCACGCCACCTGGTAGGAGTGACCTGTCAGGTAGGACGCAATCCAAGAGTGAGCAACGCCGGAGATGCCCAACTCGGAGAGGTTGGAGAGGAGGATCTGATGGTTCACAGTATCAAAGGCAGCAGACAGGTCTAGAAGGATAAGAGCAGAGGAGAGAGAGTTAGCTTTAGCAGTGCGGAGAGCCTCCGTGACACAGAGAAGAGCAGTCTCAGTTGAATGACCAGTCTTGAAACCTGACTGGTTTGGATCAAGAAGGTCATTCTGAGAGAGATAGCAGGAGAGTTGGCTAGAGAAGGCACGCTCAAGCGTTTTGGAGAGAAAAGAAAGAAGGGATACTGGTCTGTAGTTGTTGACATCGGAGGGATCGAGTGTAGGTTTTTTGAGGAGGGGTGCAACTCTCGCTCTCTTGAAGACGGAAGGGACATGGCCAGCGGTCAAGGATGAGTTGATGAGCGAGGTGAGGTAAGGGAGAAGGTCTCTGTAAATGGTCTGGAGAAGAGAGGATTGGATAGGGTCAAGCGGGCAGGTTGTTAGGCGGCCGGCCATCACAAGTCGCAAGATTTCATCTGGAGAGAGAGGGGAGAAAAAAGTCAAAGCATAGGGTAGGGCAGTGTGAGCAGGACCAGCGGTGTCATTTGACTTAATAAATGAGGATCGGATTTCGTCACCCTTCTTTTCAAAATGGTTGACGAAGTCATCCACAGAGAGGGAGGAGGGAGGGGGAGGAGGATTCAGCAGGGAGGAGAAGGTGGCAAAGAGCTTCCTAGGGTTAGAGTGGTAGAAAGTGGCTTTAGCAGCAGAAA